GTGAGTCGCTGACACACTCAGTGGGGTGGCTTTCTTTTGTCCTTGTCTGTTGTTTGTCCATTACCTAATATACTATCGACAGACTTTGACTGGCAAACTCAGTCGACAAAATAAAAGCTAAAACCAATAATAGCTAAGTTGAATGTTTGTCAAAGTTTTTTTTTTTTTTTTTTTTTGACGTCCTGGATTTTTCAATTAATGTGCTTCCCATTCCACTGCCTGTTTTGTAATTTTTCCTCCGTGCATTTTATGTTATCACAGTCGACTTCGTTGCAAAACTGGGCACTTCCATGCGCGCTTAGAGACGAGACGAGAGAAAAGACAAGAGCGACACAGAAAGTCAGAAAAGAAGAGTCGATATTGAGGAGAATAAACGGGAGAGAAGACAAGAATGACACAGAATGTTAGAACAGAATAAGCGATATTGAAGAAATTTAACAGAAGAGATGACAAGCGCGACACAGGCAAAGTCAGAACAGAAGAGTCGATACTGAAGAGTCGATACTGAAGAAATTTAACAGAAGAGATGACAAGCGCGACACAGGCAAAGTCAGAACAGAAGAGTCGATACTGAAGAAATTTAACAGGAGAGAAGACAAGCGCGACACAGGCAAAGTCAGAACAGAAGAGTCGATACTGAAGAAATTTAACAGTAGAGAAGACAAGCGCGACACAGGCAAAGTCAGAACAGAAGAGTCGATACTGAAGAAATTTAACAGGAGAGAAGACAAGCGCGACACAGGCAAAGTCAGAACAGAAGAGTCGATATTAAAGAGATGACACGGGAGAGAAGACAAGAGCGACAAGGAAAGCCAGAAAACGTCGATATTGACGAGATTAAACTAGAGAGAAGACACGAGCTTTGAGAAGGTCACGGGCCACTATGAAGTCTGTGGTGCGAGACATATCTTCATCTGTTCCGTACGGCGTGGTCTTCATTGGAATGCCAGCTGGCCCAATTTGGGATCTCTTGACTGCGTGTAGAGAATGTTGAATTTAAAATCTACATCACAGCACTCGTAACACTCCAATAAGTGCTTAGTCCCCATCTTCAGCAGCAAGCGAAGAGTTCCAATTCCGATGGTACCAGTAACTGTCTAATGTATATCCGCCTCATATTTTCCCTGAGTGTTGAGTGTCGGCCAGATGCCCTGGTAACTCCTCGCAGCGCCATTCTCCTGAGACTGTAATGATCTATCCGCGCCTTCGCACTGCCCCCCCCCCTTTCCCAAAGGGTCTCATAATATCTAACTTGTCATACATCAGTTCACCACCAAATGGTACACAGCCAGCTAGTGTGTCTGCCTGCTCATTTCCCAACACATCTGCATGACCTGGAGAGAGAATGTCTGTAGCATACGTTTAGTATTCTGTGATGCCTATCCACATGGACAAAGTTCTGGATCCTCAGTCGTGAATTTCTTGTATAGATGGCTGCAAAGTCCGTCCAGTAGGCGGTCTAAATATAATGGTCTGTAATGAAGCTAGTAGCGATGACCAGTTCTTTCTGTCATCAACTCAGTGAGTAGAGAGTAAGCAGAAACTTAATATCATAATGAAACTGATATATCATTCTAATCAGGCATCATAAACAACATTCGCTGCCTGCGAGAGGGTCGAAACATCGAAGATCACCATCATCATATCCCCTCGGCGTAGGCGATCGTGCGTCTCCACAGATCACGACTCCTGCTTGCCTGGAACAGCTCTCTTGATGTTATTCCTCCATGCCATTGTTTCAGAATTGCCTCTCTTGGTCTGCCTCTACCCCTTTTTCCACTGATCTTTTCAGTTGTCACGATGTTCTCGAATATCTTTTTTCTCATTATGTGGCTAAAGAACAGTGTTTGTCTCTTTCTTATTGTTGTATATAGAGATCTACTTTCTTTAGCTTCTTTCAAGCAATCGTTGTTAGTTACTCTGGCCGTCCAAGGTATTCGTAACATTCGTCTCAGAAAAACATCTCTATTGCTTCCAAATGCTTCCTAATTAAATGGTATGATAGGATCACTAATACTGAGCTTTCAGAGAGAACTAAATAAGTTACAGACAATCGAGAGGTGAAGAAAACACGCTAACGCTGGAAAACCTCAGAATAAAACGATAAGAATGTCTTTGCACTTGAACCCACACGGACATATAAAAAAGGCAGACACACACGTAAACAAAACATGGAGAAGAGAGCTACCGAGCGAAGTTAAAAGGGAGAAGAGGAGACTAGAGAGCTGAATGTAATAGCAAACCTTTAGAATGACTCTATGGGAATTGGACATAAAGGGTAGATGATGATGATGAAGAAGAAGAAGAAGAAGAAGAAGAAGAAGAAGAAGAAGAAGAAGAAGAAGAAGAAGAAGAAGAAGAAGAAGAAGAAGAAGAAGAAGAAGAAGAAGAAGAAGAAGAAGAAGAAGAAGAAGAAGAAGAAGAAGAAGAAAAAGAAGAAAAAGAAAAAGAAAAAGAAGAAGAAGCAGAAGAAGCAGAAGCAGAAGCAGCAGAAGCAGAAGCAGAAGCAGAAGAAGAGAGAACATAGTTCAGCAAATTAAAACAATACAATATGAATTTATGGGGGAAAAAGTTTTTAACCTTGGCTCCCAGGTCGACCCAGTACCCTGCAGTCCCAGGAAGTAAAGGCGGCCGGCGTGATGCTGACCACATCACCCATTTGTGCCGATTGGTCTATAAAATAAAGGTCTAGCCCTATATACCCTATAGCCAGAAGGCGTGAAAATGAGTCCTTTACTTTTACTTTACTCTGGTCTCCCTTCTTTCGTTCATCATTTTATTCATACATCAAGTAATAGTAAACATTATGATTAGCATCAAAATATCCACTACAAGTATATTTCTGACTACAATAAACCGAGGTAGTTGTAATAAATCTTGGAAAAATGTGCGCCATTTCTAAAATATTGTTGTCTTCTATGGGGGCAGATAATCTGTGCTCTATTTCACCATCTCCCACTAGAGCGGTTGGTGAAACGAACCCGCGACCTTCGGATCGCGAAGCAAACGATTCGACCACTTCGCGTAATATGGTACTTCGGTATACCAGGTGCAGTACCGGGTGCAGTGCCGGGAAGTAAAAGCGGCCGGCATGATGCTGACCACATTACCCATCTTGTGCCGATTGGTTTTTAAAATGTAGGTCTAGCCCTATAGGCCCTATACGCCTAAAGTCGGGGAAAAGGGACTTTACTATAAAGTGTGACATGGGCCCATAGATCTGAAAGGGATTAGGACTCATGCAGAACTACCAGTGTATATAACTTAAGTGGTTCATACAAGGTAACTGATGACCCCTGCTCATATGTGGTAAGATTGGACCCATTGAGTGTGAGCCCTCTCTTCCAAAGTTCACTTGAACCCTTTTTTCTTCTGTCAGCATTACATTCAAGAACTGGTGGCGCCAGTGTTTGATGTCGTCTCGGCCTCCGACAAGGGAGAACTGCCTGAAAGGTAAGCCTTAGTTTGCCTCCTTTTGTGGCGCAAGTGTCAGTACGTTCTTCATGATGAAGCAGGGGTCGATCAAACAGGATGTAGCCCGTAGGAGTGTAGCGGTAGACGGGCAAATAAATACAAACTCAATGGGCTGCCTCTTGGGAGTCCCCAATGAAAGTATTTATGTAGTGTTTTCTCTTAATGTTTTTACTTTCTGGACTGTAGGGTGTCGTTGTTTATTCTTTCTTTTAGATACTTTTTTTTCATCACTTTTTTTTTCTTCAGCCTTTGAGCCATTGAGGTTCATTGGTGCAGATATCACCGGCCTCCATTCATCTCCTTGGTTGACCTTGTCTAGTTGGTGACTCGAAGTATTTGTACTTCTTCCTGTATATTATTTCTCCGCCGTCTTCTTGTTGGGTCTTCTTGTTGGGTCATGTGGTCTGCTCCCATTAAACTCTTTCATTTACGCAGTTTTTGTCTTTCTGTTGTCTGTCGTTCTCAACATTTGCCCCAACCATCGCAGTTGATTTGCCCGACTGATGCTTGTAATTGCTGGTGCTAGAAAGAGATTATTTAGTCTGAAAGTCTCTCTTTCTCTAATCAACTCATAAGGCTTATATGCTTTCATAGGCAATACATCTTCAATGCCTTGTACCAACCTTTGCAGCGGGCTGCTTCTGTCTTGTTTTCAAGAAACTGTATCTTCCATCGCTATTTTCTCCAGGTCACCATTTCATTATTATTGTCATAATTCGTCAGCTTTCAGAACAGACTGCTGTTTATTAGCCAATTCTCGGTTCGTTTTAGAGATGCGTAAAGTGGTACTCTTCGCCTTTATATACAAGTCTTCCCATTGGCTGTTGCCAGGGGCCCGAATTTAACCTAACGGTTGAACGGGGTTTCCGGGACCTCTCTACGGGTGATCCACATCCGCGTGGTGTCACTTTGTGTCACCAGGTGTTTATCGCTCTATGTGATGTCCTGGTGGGGTAAGATTTAATTACCTACTTACGTGTTCCCTTGTTTTTCCACATCGACGTGGTTGAGTACCTCAGATTTCAGCAACCTCTCAGTTTGTAAGAAACAATTTTACAGTTCTATCATAAAATGGAAGCTTGCACATGCAAAGTAAAAATGCATACGGCAGCTGTTAGTTGGAGCAGCACTAACAGTCCCTCACAATAACTGCAGCTTACTGTTGGCACGAAAGCCGTCATTTCCTCAGCAAAACTCACGCCATTCTGGGTGTAATCGTATCACCCACCATTTTAGCGCATATAACAACACGCCACGAGCACAACAACAAAATTCATTTCCACATGAAATCAAGAGCTCACAGTGTCGTGCTGAACATCAGAACCTTTGACTCCAAGTCCTGAAATCTGAAATTTGCGTCAGTAAAACAGCTGGAGAAAAATAACTTGTCAGAGCTTCTGCGGGCTGCCGACTATCGGCCATTTTGACCAGGAGTCCACCGGTTGTGAAGATATTCACATATTGTGTTGAAAAGATCATAAGGGGTGCAGGGTGAAAGGAGATAGCTCTTTTTAGCGCTGGTAGAA